AAATGGAGGGCTTTGCCACACTGGCTATGTGTGGACCACGCCTTATGACTGATTGGTATTTCCTTTGAATTCATTTGCAACCCTGTTGAAAACTACCTTCTGACACTGCAGTCAACATACAACTTTCTTCACCATAGAAATAGTGACAGAAATTGCAAGTGGGGAAATTGTAAGAGGAATAGGGAGGAGCCAGCGGAATGTGCTCATAGTCAATTTGATGGTAGAAGGTGGAGCTTGTCAGGCTCCACCCCCTGAGGTGGGGCTGATGGGAGCTGAGCTGGGAGTTTGGCAATTAAACCTCAGGGCCCTTTGGCAGTTAAAGCCGCAGGGTTTTCAGCAGTTAATCCAGCTGGTGCTTTGGCAGTTGAACTACTTGGGCAGTTAAATCACTGGTGTGGAGGGGTGTTTTTGGAGAAGCTGCCAGTTTGCCACTTGTGGCTTGGGCTTAGGCCTCGGTTTTTGCTCATTAGATGCTTCCTAGGGTAGCACAGACAACATCTGGCCACATGCCAACCTATAAATTCTCTCCTACCCCCCTCCCTCAATTCTGTTTTCTCACTCCCCATGTAAATAAATCCTGTTATTGTTGTTTCTCACCATTGGTCTGCTTTTGGGTCATCTCCTGCTTTCTTGGGCATATGGGTGAGGGCTCACAACTCACATCATCCCCTGTTTCCTCTGAGGATGCACTGTAACATAACAGTGTCCTCTCCCTGACCCCTCAGTGTTTTTTCCAAACCTTCCAAAATCTGAGCCCATCCTCACAGCAGATGACCTGTCACATCTGGGCGGAATACAGGTTCTCAGCCCAGAGCCCATGGTTGGAATTTAGGAGGTTAGGAAGCTAAAACCATATGTGAAAATGCAAAAACATCCATAGTTTTCATCAGATTCTCAAGATACCCAAAAGGTTTAAAAACCCCTACCTCAGCAAATTAGTACTCCTAGTATAATCTCCCCTAACTTTTTGACCCCCCACTTAAAATCTTATTTATAGCCCTAACCACCCTTTCTTTTCTCTACTTCTGGAGGATGTGTGATTCCTCTTCCTGTTTATTCAAGTCCCATCCTATAAATCATCCTTTCACTCCTGCCTTCCCGCTAGATTATTTTCTCTTCCATACTCTAGCTTTATCCTCCACCACCCGCAGCTCCTTCCTTTAAAACACAATAACAACAGCAACACCCTACCCCACACCCTTTTGTTGCCTTCTCTGTTATGTTCTCAGCTTACCCTAGGAAAGGTGGGGGGCTGGTATCCTTCCTCTGTGATCTCAATGTCCCATGCATCCTTCTGTCCAGTGCTTGTCACATTGCATTATAGTTGTTTCTGTTTCTCCCGTTAGACTGTGAAGTTGAGGACCATTTCTTATTTATTTTAATATCCCTAGCCCAGTGTTTCACACATTATGGGAACTTGATAAAAATTTATAGACAAGAATTAATGAATTTAGTTGTTCTCTAGACCTTCTCTATTTTGTCTTTTCTTAAGATATAGAAATGAAAACAGAAAATAGGTAGGCAAGTCACAGATTTGTTGAAATGTAGCACAACTTATTTTTCTTGCATTTCTTTTCTCATATTACACAATACTCTATTGGTTTATTTATCTGGTTGCTTATCTTGGCTATAGCTACACACTGTGTTGGTCTAAATGACTCTGGAAACCTTTTTTGCACCTTATATACATACTAAAGCTCATACTCTACTAAGTATAATTTGTATTACTAACACCTCAACTCCTGTCATTACTGCCTACATTGAAGCTCAAATGCTTTCAAGCAGTACAAAGCTCCTTCAGGAACAGCTACCTATGTTAGGCAGAAAAGCATACCTTTTATTCTCTTTAGAATAATACATTTACAAATTATCTAATTGCCATGTGTAGGAGGTCACTGATTCTGGCAACATATTTAATGCTAATGTTAAACAATTATTTACTGAAGAACTATCTCCACTTGACAATACTTTAAAATCCGTTTCTAATGGCTCCACATCAGATATTTCACTAGTTGCAGTATTTGTTTTTTTTTTCTCCCCGACTGTGCTTTCCTAGAATACATTTCCTTCTTTTGGTAACAATACCTCCATTTCCCGTTATGGAACTATTATGGCACAGAGACTAACTAGCTCTGCAGAGCACTTGAGGAATCCAGCAGTCCACCAGTGGTTTAATAGTTAACAAAATGAAGTTGCTAACAAGGGGCCTCATCTTGGACTTGAAGTTATAAAAGCAAATCTGGATCGTATCTTGTGGATTTCCTAGAGCTATTCTAAAAAAAATCAAAAACTTGGCATCTTGACATGGAATTTCTCTCACAATTGTTGCGGCCAGAAGTCTAAAACCAAAGTGTCAGCAGGGCCTTCCTGCCACTGCAGGCTCTAGGGGAGAATCCTTCCTTGTTAAGTTCCTGGGCTGGTGGCAACCTAACTCCAAACTCTGCTTCCATCTTCACATGCCTCCTTCCCTGTGTTTCTGGGTCTCCCTTTCTATTGTCTTATAAGGATACCAGTCATTGAAAGTAAGGCCCACCTTAAACCCAGAATCATCCTCAGTCCCTTAATTTCACCTGCAAAGACCCTTATTCCAAACAAGTTCACATTCTAAGGTTCTGGGTGGACAAATATTTTGGGGGCTACACTAGCCTGCTGCATTTGCCCACGGCGCGCCTTCTGACACAGATTTCCAGGTGCTCAGGAGATGAAGATGAGAATATCTTATTCTCCTCCCTTTCCACCTAGTTTTGTGATCTGCAGATTTGTGGCCCCAATTTTGGCTACCCTCTGTGGGTCGCGTCAGACACTGGACACTTTCTACCCAAGATATATGATATATTGATAATGTCAGGCAAGCTCCCTTGTATTCTTCATTTCACTTCTTTCTTCTTGTCTTGTTTGTGGTGGAAAGGCTAAATAAACCATCTTGATTGTACTGTAATTTATAAATTGTAGCAGAATGTGGTAAATAAAACTGTAATAGATTAATTTCTCATCTACTGTGTTAAATGCACTTCTTGAAATCACAGGTCTTGATGTTAGAGCACAAGCATTATCATCTTACTGGGCAAAGCTACTCTGTCATCACTAAAGCATATCAGGTAACCAGGCTTTCTCCTAAACTCCTCCACACACAGACTTATAATCATGAGAACTGATCTAGATGATATCTAATGAAAAGGGATTCACAATGGTCAACTAACATTGATAAATCTGTGACAAACTGATTGGTAGGTGGGTAATAGCATTGGTAGATGCTTTTTGGTAAAGCAACTATAGTATTCTCGTTAGAAAATTGATGGGGAATCAAAAAACTGTATGTTTTTGCCTTTGTAGCATGTGTTACCTTTTCTCCTAATTATAGCTCCTTCATTTTTTTAAGAAAATACCCTCCCATGTTCTCAGCGTATGTGATTCAGTATTTAACCCAATTTTTGGCTCTATGGGTGTGGATGTGAGTGAACCAGTGGGGCCAAAATTGACTCCTTGGAGCCAATTAGCATCAGAGCTTGGGCTTTGGTTGAAACCAAAGAGTTTTCATTTCACTGAGTTGCTAAGCTGGTAATATGCTACTTTAGAGGTGCAGCTAGTCATGCTTTGTCACCACCTGGGAAGCCCATCTAATGATGAAGGCCAGACAATGGAAAGCAGGATGAGTGACGATGAGGCAGAATTCTGATGACATAAGTTGAAAATCCTGATGCAGTTGTACCTAAAGCCAGGTCTAACTTCTGGACTTTTCATAAGTGAATAATTTTTTTTTTTTTTTTGCTTAAGCCAATTTGGGTGAGGTTTCTGTCACCAAGAGTACTGATATAGAAATTTTTTGAGGTCATAAGAAATGAGTAGGCCTGTCTACAAAAGTTCTCTGAATGGATCTGTTCTCTAGGGGTTTATAATAACCATCGCCTAATGCTGAGTTTTGTGATTTTTACTTAAATGTGTCCTCATAAAACCCTCATAACATGAGTGTTAGATTGTTCCCATTTTAGGACAAATTATGGCTTAAATAGATTAAGAAACTTATTTAAGTTTATACAGGCATTGGCAAGCCCAGGAATTGATTCCATGCTGCTGTCTCCAAAATTTATTTCCTGACTAGCATAATATAAGTCCCTTAGGTTAGTTAAGGCTCTTACTTGCAAAGAAATTATATCTGGCCAGTTTAAGCTCTATAATCAGAGATAGGTCCAACCCCACTGCATGCTCAAGTGAAGCACCAGTGTCACCGCCACTCCACAGCACACCACTGTCTCCAACACAGTGGTTTAACCAATGATGCTAAGAACTTGTGCCAGAAGTGCCACCTGTGCCACCATGCTCAATGGAAGATATTCTAGGAATGTCTATTTCTTTGCTTTTCTCCTTGAAATCCCATTATCACATAGGTGCATCTGATTGGGAGTGCCCAGGCCACATAACTGTGCTCTAGAAACACAGGAGGCTGGGAAAATGAGTTTTGCCTTCTATGCTTTGATTCAAGAGGTGAAGTGGCCACAGCATGACAGAAATCTGATATTTTTTATTCTGGAAGTCTTATTATGCTCTCTTTGGACCAAATCAAGTGTGGTTCTCATACTTGGAGTGCATTAGAATTACCTGAGCAAATTGCCAGAATGGAGGGTAACTCCTGCCCCCATTATAAAAAGAATTGGGGACTTGAACAAAAAGCTCAATATCAAGCCAATGAGAAATGCATCCCCTATTACCTAACCCTGTGATCTGCTGAACAGTGGAATCTTGGTTCTAACCCAGTGCTGGCCCCTCTTGTATCATGGAGCTCTTATGAGCACTCACATTTCATCTGGTTTCTACAAAGTTAATATTCATTGTTATGTTGGAATTATGAAAACCTGGTAAGTGATCTAGGGTTAGACTTTTTTTTTTGTAGCAGTAGTCCACAATGACCAGCTGGCCAGAATAAATCTTTCTAGAACATTCTTTTTACCAATACTGTCTACTTCAGATAAACAAATAATAAAAAACGGAACAAAAATAAAAGACCACAACTTCTCAGATACAGAGGACACTTTATTTATACATAAAAAATTACACCTCAGGAATTCTTTTCTAAAAGCAGATTTTTAACTGTAAATTTCAAAATGAAAAGTTTGAAAGGGGCACTGTGTAGCTTTTTAATTCTGTATATACTATAGCCACAGTTAAATAATTTTTTCAGCTGCAAAAAATATACCAGTCCTGTAATAGGAAATGCATGATCTTTAGTAACTACAGACTCAAATAAAATCTCACAATGGCATCAAATAATATTCTGAATTAGAAGGCCTGGCTTTCATGTTCCATGGATATTATTTCAAATCACTTCCCTTCATGTTAACTCTTCCTCTTAGGTGTAACTCAACAGAAAATTCTTTTTCTAATAATACCTATCATTACTTTGGCAAAAGTGAAAAAAGAAGTGATCAGGGCTCTTGTAAATATTTTAAAAGCTGTCTCCCACAATCATACACTTCTGAGTAATAATATTAACATCTATCCTATTTAAGAAACAAAGTGCCATGTTTTGAGATCAAATTTATATAATAACTGAATATATTCTGGAGCATGTAAGCCTCAATAATAAGTAAATTTCAACTGCACTTCTAAAAAAAATATTTCAAAAAACCATGAAATGGTCAAGTATAAAATGTATGCTACATTCAAATAAGAGTAAACATTCTTAGTGATTCCCACCCCACCCCGCCCCCCCATTTCCTTTTTGTTGAGAGCAGGGCTTAATTTATAGTGTCTTGCCTAGTACAAGAAGGACTTATCTGATAAAACAGTTTATAACAATCACCTGTCAGTTTTTATCCTCTTCTCATCACACCTGCATATTCTTGACTTGATAAAGTCACCACTTATTTACCAGTAATGTCGTTACAATCTGAAGCATCTAAATAAGAGTTGGATAAAGTCGTATAATTTTAGGTATAATAAACTTCAATGTCACCTTCAATAGTAAAGGCGGTTAAAGTACCTGCTTCGTTTTTGAATTTTGTATTGTTCCTTTTTCTTCTTCATTTTTAAATTACAAGAGAGATCACAGTTCTATAGATCTTGGCCAAGAATGGGAAATTAAAAAGGTCTTACTAGAAAATGTTAATAATCCCAATTTTCTGACAGATGAAGACTTGCTTAAGTAGGACTTCTGCAGCTTTGGAAGAGATGAGGGGATGAAGACTATCTTTCCATTCTGTGCAAACAGTTACTTTGTTTTTTAACTGTCAGTGTTGTTATATTGGACTTTTTTTGTCTCCACAGGTTAAAAAACTTTTGGTCTGCCTGATATTTTGTTAAAATTGTCTTTGGGGGAAAAAAAAAAGCTCTAGATCTGAGGTGTAAGTAAGGTGGTAATTTCTGGAAAGTATTAGGCAGAGAGGCTTTTCCCTTTTTTTTTTTTTTTTTTTTTTTTTTTGCTAAGGTTATGTACGTTCCAAGGGCAAGGGGAAAAAGTAACACAGGGCCTCCCTGGTGGCCTAGGGGTTAAGTCTCAGCACTATCACTGCTACGGCCTGAGTTGGATCCCCAGGCAGGGAGCTAACCCATATATGTCCCAGCAGACCTTTCTTGTCTCCCCTGAGCAGTGTATTTCAGTAAATCCACCTGTTCTGCTCCCCACTGTCTCTGGTGAATCCTCTCACCCCCAGCACCTCTTGTGTATACCCCAGTTCTTCCATACAAAAAGCCAAACATAAAAAAAAAAAAAAAAACCCCAAAGAGTAATAGAGAAATATCCTTACCCAATCGAGATGAGAAAAGCAAAGCAAAAGTTAGTATCCAAAAAGACTTTAAAAAATATCAAATTTCCCCAACCTATATTTTAGGAACTTACATAAGGATGAGAAAGCAGAAAACATTTTTTCCTTTCACAGGGGAAAAAATATAACAAAATAAAGCGAAAGCAATCAATGCTCTCTTGTACAAAATTTTGTGCTCAAAATTTATTACCCAGTAGAAATGACAACTTTAGTTAAAATGAAATCTTTAGAATAGAAAAAGTTCAATTCTGCTTACACAAAGAGCCTTTTTCAATTTACTTAGGATTATTCATCATTTTACCAGTACCACTCCTTGAGTAGGCTACTGTTTACACTTATGTTATAGAAAATATCATTGTACTGCTATGATTAGAAGAATAATTTGTACCATAATTTAACTAGACAGTTTACTCAATTTTCATATATCTTAAAAGAACGAGGACTCAGAATGTTTTTTGTTAAAATCTTGTGCTTCATCAATATCAGGACACAAAACTAGCAGAACGATTGAGACTGATCTGTAAGAAAATATAACTTACAGAATTTAAGATTTAACTATTTAGAATTCTCTGTTTTACATATTAAGAGGGAGAGCTTAATGCATTACAAACTTATTCTATCTTTGACTATGATTACAGTTTCTATTTACATTTGTGTATTCAGGAACTATGAGGTTGAATTTTTAAGAAAGGCTATTCATGATTGCTATAAAAAATTTGTCTCCAATAAATTAGCTAAAAACTGTTAAATATAAATCAGTAAAGTGATATTATCCCAAAGCAAAGTTTAAAGACTTTGAAAGCTTTGGCTGAGATCATAGGAACTGAGTCTTAGACTCCACAGTTAATGGTTAATGGCATATCTTATCCTTCAGATTGCCAGCCCTAGAAATACTTATTAAGGTTGAAAAAATTAAGTTTTTCCTTTGCCTGTGAGATAACACAAAGATGCCTCTTTCTGACTTAAAAACAAACAAACCAAACAATAAATCAAAACCCTGAGTGCCAAAACAAACACACTGATAACAGAGTAGACAAAATTCCCTTTTTTCAAGTAAATGTGTATTCACTGCCTGCAGTTTAGAGGGAGAAACCAACCATTCAAATTCATAGATTTACTGCAAGGACCTGACAAACTTATTCAGGCAGGTTAGTAAGCTTCAGTGGATAGTCCTGACAGGATCTTCAAGGGTAATTATGAGACACTACGAAAATTAGAGGTGGGGAGGATCCTCAAAATAATTATTTGAAGAAAAGCCCATGCTTCCTCAGAAGCCAAAGACGTAAAATATTCTATTCTACAAAGGGACATTGATTTTATATTTTCCACATGACTTTAAAGAAGGTACAAAGGTAAGTTTGGTTTTTAAGACCAAAGTAATTTGTATCTTAAACTCAAAACAAAGGAATAAAGTTGGACAGATAAGAGTATGCTTCAACTTTTCTTCACTGCACAGGGAAATCCCCCTGGAGAATAAGAAAAATCAGTAAGTTGGCAAATACTTCTATCTTTAACAGTATTTCCCCTTAACGTCACATTTTAATATTGATGCAGGGTTTCATGCAATTAAATATCATAAAAACTTTAGAAGTACCTCAGCCTTTTATGGAATTCCTTACTCACCATTATCACCCTTGTGATACTGGTCTGAGAATGATGTAAAGGTTCTGACCTTAACTTATAGAGAACCTTTCAAAGCAATGAACATTTTCTGATTATGATCTCATTTAACATAAAAAGATAAATCTCATCTCTTCATTCTTCAATAAAATATGCATATATACCCCCAGGTTTCAAAGTATACTTTACTTTGCCACTTCTCATAAACTAAATTTTTATTTTAGTATTTTTAAAAGCAATACCCTGTTAGATTGTGAGAATAAGGCTACTTTTCCAGTAAAACACATTTTTTTTTATCCCATATGGCTGAATTTTCAAAACTTAGTTAACTTTGAAAAGAAGGACTTACAAGCTTATAATCTATTTTATTATAAATGGAAATAGATTTTTCTTTTTATACACAATTACCTATAGATAACAAAATATTTAGAAAAGTTCAAATTTATCAGTATGAAAATATATCTCACTGAAATATACTTACTTATAAGAACATATTGCCTTTGCCATGTGAAAATCTGCTGTTTAGTTCTCTAGATTTCTTTATGAGGGCTTTTTTCTGTGCTTCATCAAACCGATTAACTTTGAGATCTTTATCACGGTCAAATGGTATTCTTTCTTGGGGTTTACTTTTATCTTCAGCATTCTTATTCTTTAATTTTTTATGATGAATGTCCATAAGAGATTCTGATCTTTTTGATTCCTGGGCAAGAGAATAAAAATAAAGGTCTTAGCCTGTCTTGTTATTGACAGCAAATGATGATTAAATAAAATAATCAAGTAGTTAACAGTGGACATTAAAGGCAGCAATGTATAAACCCCAGTAAGTTTTCCAAATCCAAGATAGCATCTATGAAGAGAATATGTAACAGAGGCAAATTTAATTTAACCAAAATAAAGATATCTACTAACTACAGAACATATAATGTTAAAAAAGCAAGACAGAAAAAAATAATTTCAATAATATTGAAAGCACCATGTGATATGTCAAAATTAAAGTATGAACCAAGAACATAATGAGAAAGGAAGAGCAATTACATTGTCACTTGGAAGCTATCAATAGATTAAATCTTTATGGATGTGTGGTTCCTTGAAGTCTGAATGGTGGATGAGAAGGATACTTGCCAGGTTGAAGCAAAACAGAAAAATATTGGCACAGAGGTGACATATTCAAGGTCTGTCAAGGGTATGATGAAAGATTCCATATACTGACAGCATTTTCATTCCTTCTGATTTTATGTTCTCTCTTTGCCACCCTCGTTTTTTTCCTTCCTACTTGGGTGAAGGTGGTTAAATCTAATGAATATAAAGGATTTGTACTACTACAATGTTGGGTGAACAAAAATCACTGGGAAAAAAATCATTAAGAGATTAAATTTAAATTTATTTTTTAATAATTATTTATCAAAACTTTCAATATCCTTACATTGTTTTGATCTACTGAAATTACAATTTAATCTATTGATAGAAGGGCAAAAAGTATAGACATTTACAGAAACAGGAAATTAAAAAGAAAATAGTACAATTTCAATTTAAGTGTTTATTTTTGTTGCTGTGAAATACAACATCAAATATAGTCATAAAAAACTTTCAAGCATAAAAGTGAATTCTGCTAGGATAAAATTCTGTGGCAGAGGAAAAATAAAATTATGAATTCAAGGAAGAAAAAGGGATGAAATAAAATTTCCAACTGTTAAGGAAGTATGTGTTCATACAAACCTTTAAAAGATGATAATAAATATTGAATTGTTATGACAATTACATTGTATTTGAAACTTTTAATACAGCATTATACAATCCTATAAATTACATCAGTGACTTGAAACTTACAATAAAAACTTTTAGATGTCAAATAAAGTTTCTTTTAGAGAATGCCAAGCAAAGCACTTGAAGACCATGGGTCTCCACTCTTGACCGGCTGAAAGAAATACAAGATTCCTGAATCCCATCAAAGATTTAATTAAACACATTTATCAATTGTGAGCTCAGAAACCTGTGCTTTAAAAAAATACACTGGTTCTCCAACAGGTGACCCATCTGACGTGAAATCTACTGTGTAGATTGTTCTTTCTGGTAGTTCGGTATTAATAAAGGAGATGACAACACAAAAGGAGAACTGAAATAGGGGTAATTTTAGGATGGGTAACTATAATATTATATACTGTATAACTATAATGTAATATATGTGATGTGCAAATGTACAAAAGCAACACTACAAAAACCTGATATATTGGGAACATTTCCTCCTTTTCTCTGAAAATGAAAATCTAAGAGCTAGAGGAAAAAGACAAAGTTTGGAGGACACAGAAGCCAGAAAGAATGAAGTTGTGGAGGCCCTACTTTATCTAAAGCCACTACTGAGAAAAATTACTTATAATTGATGAGAAAATGTACAAAAGGTTAAAAAAAAGTAAACAAAAATGGAAAAATAAAGATAGCAGGTTTCAATTTACTGAGCCTCTATAAATTAAACATAAGACAGAGGGATACATGAAACCACTGGACTCTTAATGATTAATTAAAGCAATTCAAGTGCTCAAATTTTTTATGATAAAAGAAACAGATTGTTATATCCATTGTTTTATATGTACTGTTGTCCCTTTGGATTAGCATAATTTGTACATTGTGTCATACACAACCAAAATAGTACCAGAATGATAAATAATAAAATACCTAGAAGCAATAAATTCCAAAGGCTGTAAGTCGACTCATGTAGAGATCTATTTGCTAAATGGTCAATCTGCTAATTTACAAAGTTTAAACGTTAATAAAAATGTGTGAAATTTTCTAACAATTTATAAAATCTAGAGCAATTTATCTTGGATAGGTTTCTTTCTGCAGTTTTGAAAACTCACACTAATATTCTAGTTGCTTGGTTTTTATCTTCATTGTAGTATTTTCAGGAGTATTTGATATATCAAATAAAAGAGTTAATTAAGTATTAATATAATATCCCATAATGACATAAATATTAATATAAATATCCCCTATATTAATGTTTTGAAAAATAAATTTTATAAGTAACCAAAATTTTAGCATAAGGCCAGAACCCTAATTTTTGGATGTATTTCAAAGTGACAGCATTACATGTACCCTTAAGTACTTCATTTTGCATTTCATTCATTAGAGTTCAATATTAGCTTATAATTTTTTATTTTAAAATATATTTACATATGAGATGCATAAATCTTAAGTGCACATTCACTGAGTTTTGTAATTCAAACTCTTATGACGATCTGGAACATTTCCAATGACCCCAGAAAGCTCCTCTTCTTAGTCAGTCTTCACGTTCCTACTGCAGCAACCACTATTCTGATTTTTTCCACCATAGCTTTATTCCATGTATTGCAGTGCTTCATATTAATGGAATCATACAGAATATAATACTTGTATAATATTTCTTTCATTCAGCATAACAACTTTGAGATTCATCCACACTGCTGCATTTATGTGTAATTTGTTCCTTTTTTATTGTTGCGTTGTAATTCACTATATACTTAGTTTGGTTTTTCTTTCTGTCATTGATGGACACCTGGGCTGTTAACAGAATTTAGCTATTTAAAAGACTGTGCGCATTCTCATATAAGTCTTTTTGAGGTTATTATGAATGAAACATGTTCAAGTCTATATGCCTATCTCTCAGAAATACTCAGGGGTGGAGAGGCATGGTTATGAACAGGTGCTGTTTAATTTTATGAGAAATATTCATTTGGGAAAAGGCCTGGCTTATTAATTTTCAGCTATTCTTCTCTTCTAGCTTACCTCATTATGACTATACATTTTGTCTCCAACTATCACTTTATATTGCATCCCACAATACAATTTTGACATACTGTATTTATTACCAAGTCTAGGTTATTTTCTAACATCTATCATTGAGTCTTTGATGCAAAGTTTAAATTTTGAAGTTTACTGATTTCCAGTTATGTATAGCTTTTAAGTTATTTTTAAAATTTTTTTACAAGATTTATTTATTTATGCATACAAGAGCTGGGGTATAGGCCAGAGGTGCGGGTGTGTGTGTGTGTCACAGGATTCACCAGAGACAGAGTGGGGGAACAGAACAGGCAGATTGACCGAAGTACACTGCTGAGGGGGAGCAGCAGGAGAGTCAGGAGAGGTCTGCTGCACCAACTGGGTTGCTCTCTGGCCTGCCAGGGGAGCAAACTTGTGCTGCAGAGGCTGCAGATAGCTTCATAGGTTGTGTCTTAACCCCCTACGCCACCAAGGAGGCCCTATTTTTAAAATTTCAAGTTAATTTCAACTGAAAAAATTTTAACTCCTGTAGTCAGAGAATATGTTTTCTTTCTGTGTTCCTTTACAACTTTATTTCAAGAAAGGATAATGTGAAAGGGATAATGTAAAGAAGCTAATTCTTTCTTCTAATGGAAGAGACAGAAGCCTTCGTAATGGCAGAAACTCTCATCACATTGCTCCACGAACAAAGATTTTTATTTATTTATTTTTTAAAATTCTAAATTATTTAATTTTAATATATATTTTTAAATAAAGTACCATTATTTTACATCCTTGTTAATTTTCTCACAGTATAGGATTTCTCCCCTCAGGTGTGGTCACCATAGTTCTTCCAACATTGAAGCACCTATAATCCCACACTGTAGTCTACAGTTTATCCCCTGCATCCTCTCCCCTCCTGGATATTTCAGATCTACGGTCAATTTTCTGTAGTTGATTTTAAAGTTTGTCTTTGTCTGATCCTTTATTTGGTTTCTCTGTATTCCACATATAAGTGTATTCGACATATAAGTGAAGCCACCTGTATTTCTTTCTCCTTCTGACTTATTTCACCAGAATTATCCCTTCCAGTTCTACTCATGTTGCCTCAACTAGCATGAGTTTATCTTTTTTTGATTGCTAAGTAGCATTCCATTGTTATTACACCACATCTTCTTGATTCACCCTGTTCTGGGGCTTTTAGGTTGTTTCCATATCTTGGCAGAGAGTATGGTTTTATGGTTTGAATGATAGTGATTCTTTCAATTTTGTAGATTGAACTTAGATTGAACTTTTGAAGATCAGTTTTCATAAAAGTTCCATGAGGACTGCGTTTTGTTTGGGTTGAATTTCAAAAATGTTTCATTTATGCTTCACTGGTTATGGTACTGTCTACATATGTCCAATAAATCATGCTAATTATAATTTTAACATGTGTGCACCTTTTCATGAACTTTCATTGGGGAAAAAAGCTAATTCTCCTGATCATCCTTCAGGAATCAATGGATTCAGTGATTTACATTTCACCATTTTTTTTTTTTTTTATTTTATTTTTTTTTTATAGAGGCATGTTTTTATTTATTTATTTGTTTGTTTGTTTGTTTATACATGCACTGGGTACAGTCAGAAGCGCGGGAGGGTGAGAGAATTCACCAGAGCCAGAGCGGGGAGCAGAACAGGCAGAAGGACCGAAGTACACTGCTGAGGGGAGCAGCGGGCGGCAGGAGAGGTCTGCGCGCCATGTGGGACCCTCCTCCAGTGGCCGGGGAGCAGCCGGGGATCGAACCGGCGCCGCAGAGGCCGCGGGCAGCTTCGCAACCCAGCGCTCAACCACTGCGCCACCCGGGAGGCCCCACCATTTTTTTTTTTAATGAATAAGAGAACATAACAAAATAATATGTCAAATTTGGTGTATAAATTTATATTTAACCACATTTTAAAAACATTTTTCCTGCCATATTTAACATTTTTTTACATTAAATATTCTAAATCTGTTCATAATTTAAAAACAAATGAACCATGGATCTCTGGAGCTTATGGGTTCTTGTTTTCTCCTCATGTGGTACAAATTGCTAGGAATTAAACTTCTGATATATAACAAGTAAAATATAAACTGAAACCATTAAACCATTACATGAAATGCATTAAAAATACCTACAAAAAATTTATATATCTATATAAATACAAAACTGAATACCCTTCAGGACAGATATATAGAAAAGACTGAAGTAAAAAGGAAGATTAAAAAAAAGAAATAATGGGCAGGTGGTGCCGTGGCTAAGCATAGCACTGTGAAGCTGTCCGCAGCCTTTGCAGCGCAGGTTTGATCCTGGCTGGCTGGTGAGATACCCACATGGCGCGGCAGACCTCTCCTGTCTTGCCCTTCTGCTCCCCTCAGCAGCGTATTTCAGTCAGTCTGCCTGTTCTGTTCCCTGCTCTGTCTCTGGTGAATCATCTCACCCTCCCACACATCTGGTCTGTACCACGGTTCTGGTATGCATGAATAAATAAATTTAAAAAACAATCTTTAAATTAAAAAAAATAAGGAAAAAAATGAGAACAGCATTAAAAAATAGAGAAAAATATAAGGGTACATATTTTATACTTTTACTTACATTGTATGAGGATACCTGCTCAGCCAATCTCTTTTCCCTTCCTGACAACATATATTCTTCATCCTTCTTATTAAATGATTTCCTTGTTTCCTGTGTCTCCTGAGGAATGAACACAGGTGAACATTATTGAACCTGATGCAATTCAGGAAAGAAAATAAGACTTAAAAAGAAATCCTACATTATCTGTTACCAACAATTATAAACCATCATTGTGTAAAAAACTCCAAAGAATCTATAAAACACATTCCTGGAATTAAAATAACAAGTATAGCAGAGCTCTAAGATCTAAGATCAATAAACAAAATATACCAGCAAAGAACAACTGTAATTTAAAACTTTTAGAATAGGGCCTCCCTGGTGGTGCAGGGGTTAAGACGTAACCTATGAAGCTATCCGCAGCCACTGCAGCACGAGTTCAATCCACGGCCAGGAAGCTACCCACATGGTACAGCAGACCTCTCCTGCTTCGCCCGCTGCTCCCCTCAGCAGTGTATTTCAGTCAGTCTGCCTGTTCTGCTCCCCACTCTCTCTGGTGAATCCTCTCACCCCCCCATACCACTGGCTTACACCCCAGTTCGTGTATGCATAAATAAATAAATCTTTAAAAAAAATCTTTTAGCATATTTATCATTCACAATAGTGTACACTCAAAAACGAAGTACTTGGTAAACAAATGTTAATTAGCAAAAAGTTTAATATAATATTATAAAGAACATAGTAAGTACTTGGTATCCTTTCCTTTCTTCAAACTATCCTTCAAGGGGACATCTGTATTTGTCTTTGGAATTATATTTTTTAAAAAAGTATTCTTAAATAATTTTGCCTCATATCTTTTCAAAATAGAGCCAACATATATAGAAATATAGGAACAAACAATCAAAGTCTCTCACCTTAGCTTTCCTTTCCCTGTCAGCTGGAGTATCAGTCCAGACTGATCGATCTCCAGATTTGTCATCGGCTCTTCTCTTAAAAGCTCTAGGCCCAAGACCAAAGTCTTTCATTTCCGGAGGAAGCTCAGTCATCCACGATTCTCTTGAAATTGGTTTAGATGAATCCTTTAAGAGAAATGAAAAAGTTAACATAGCCTGGAAAAGTATATATGAATGCTAATTAACTAGTTTTTTCAATTGAGGATTTAAAGTTAATTAACAGACTTTTAGAGGAAGGATTGATGTATTTATTATATATACACGTTACAAATGCTTTCATCTAATTTACTGATTGTTTGACTATGTTATCTTTTTGCCAATCTTTTCCTTTATAGCTTCTGGATTACCCAATTCCTAAACTTTATTTATATACATACATATTAATGTCTACTTTAAAAATTCATATTTTTAGTTTATTTCTTAAAGTATACTTAGAACTTACATCATTTCCTTTAGTTAGTTTTTCTTTCATTCTCTGGGCCCTTTTTTCAAACTCTGTTGTTACACTATAGTTAACTGGTCCTTTTGCAGGCATTGGTCCAACAATGTCCTCATCTTCACTGCTCTCTGTTTCCTTTTAAAAAAAGACATTGCCTTTAAATCAAGAGCTACAGTTATAGAAAATGATCCTCAATTCCGAAATTCTAACTTGAAACTTATTACCTAGACACAAAACAAAAAGTGAACAGTTTGCTGGCTAATCAAGCACTTTTTCCTTGCCTTCCTCAGGAACACAGTGCAGAGATGACAAATCCATGGCATGTAGATTGTCCCACCACCTACCCCTCCATGTCCATGGCAGACCTCATGAAATTATTTCAGCTCTTCCTGATGGATACAGATGTGGGCTCACAATACTTTATCAACATATTATTCTCGGTAATTATTACTGATTTTTCAGAGGTGGCACAAATTGAAAACATGCTAATTCCTGGTATAGAAAAAGCTCTTTGGAATAAGATGCGTGTAAGTAAGGCATTCTTGGAAGCTGAATCAGTCATGATTCAGCCCACTGAAATAGAAATTCTATGTAGGGCCTCCCTGGCGGTGCAAGGGGTTAAGCACCGCACTATGAAGCAATCCACAGCCTCTGCAGCACAAGTTCGATCCATGGGTGGCCAGAGAGAAACCCACATGGAGAAACAGACCTTTCCAGTCTCGCCCACTGCTCCCCTCAGCAGTGTATTTTAGTCAGTCTTGTTGTTCTGTTCCCCACTCTGTCTCTGGTGAATCCCTTATGCCCCGTGTCTCTGGTTATACCCCAGCTCTTGAATGCATAAATAAATAAATCTTAAAAAAAAAGAAATTCTATGTAATATTTTATAAAGTGCTGATACAAATGAGTTAATATGGTTCCCAAAATATCTCACTTATTTCAAAGATTTCATAGTATCGTATTGCAGTAAGAGAGTTCAATGTGTTTTTATTAAACCATTTTAATATAAGGTTTTCCATTTAAGACTCTGTTATCTACTACATACATGTTTGTCCTTCAGCCCTGACAAGCAGTTCTTGCTCCTATTTCTTCACTCTCCCAGGATCAGGAGGTCATTTGTATTATTTACATTCTCCCTATCAACTACTTAATGGTAACTTTCTATCTGTGGTTTCTACTCTGAACCCTATGGCAATTGCTACTAGTATAAATAATTAGATAATTATGTATTATGGCTTATTCTAAATCTCATACTCACAATTAGTAACTATGGGCTTAGGCATACTATGCCTCATTTAGTCCTGATAAGAAAGCTGTGAAATGGCATTTTAATCCTGTTTTCTTTTTGAGAAAGCTAGGTTTAAAGAAGTGTATTTAGAAAGGTTAAGCAACTTGTCACCTGGCATGAAGCTGGTTTCTAGCACTTAAATGTTCTAAGATCAAGGCTAGTATTTTCCCCACTATACAATAGCTGCCCCTCCATTATTTTATTTTAATTGTTAACGATTCAACTTCTTATAGCTCATTTCTATAGCAATAGTATCTCTGAAATTATTTTGAATACATTTATAACTTCCTACAAATATAATATTGGGCTACACAAAATGAATCGGTATAGAACATATAATGACCCTTCAAACTATAAGACAGTGACATCAAAATACCATTACAATTTAAGATAATGGGAAAAGCTAATGGCATTTTTACTTTCATCTAATGAGATGGTTTTATTAAGGCAGAATTTCTGTATGTCCTGGAGGGATGAGGCCTGAAATTTTTAGAAATAAACATCACTTAGGATGTTGGGAGACATTAATTAAAGGGGCAGATGGAAGAGCAAACAAAAATTAGGCCCAACTGAACTGAAAATGAGAAAATGAATCATAAACCCGAATCCAATCTAGGTATTAAATCATTATTTTTAAAAGGTGAGCTATTTTATGCAGAAACACAATATAAATTCTATATCCTGCTGGTTTATAATTTGGGCTACAGTTAGACAGACCTGGCTTCAAGGTCTCAGTTTGTCACTGGATTAGCCCTGTGACCGAGGGCATGTTATTTAACCTTTCGAGGTCTGAGTTTTATTTTTCAGACGGGGATTATAACAGCCCCAATCAATAACTACTCTGTTGCTAAAAGAATCCTGTGTTTTATTCATCATCTTTGGAGCCAGGCCCTTCTCAGGAAACTGGGACCTTTTCTAACTTGCGCATTGGGATGGGAGGGGAGATGGGTGGAAACACTGATAATTCTAAGCCAGTCACTTTGGTCTCATTCTTCTTGATCCACTGATTAGTTTAGGCATAATACACAATTCTCACCAAAGGAATAAGAGGTTAGGTCTATAGGAAATCTGGCAAGGTTTTCCTCCTTTTATAAAATGGGCACAGAACAGGTCCCCTTTTGTATTACAGACGGACATTACCGTCTGTTTGTGTTTTAAAACTTTGGCAGGGTTGTTGGTATAATAAAGGGGTCAGGGTAGGAGGAGTTAACATACTATAGATGACAGGGAAGAATAAGAGAAAAAGTGGAACCCTGGAAGATCTCATTAGGTAGTTGAATTAAACAACCTGGAATGAGCCTACCTCTAGACCTCTTATTATATATGAAACACATTTTCCTTATTTTGAGAATACAGAATACATATCACTGAGGATATTATATAAACACCACCTTTACTAAGTAGGTTAAAGCAGTTACATTTTGTGCTGGATTTTGTGTTATTTACAGCTAAAAGCAATCTAGTTGATACACCATCTCCAAGATTGTTAATTGTATTAAATTAAGTTTATGCAGCAATGCAAATATAAGTGTATATTGTGCCTCGTAGTGGCTGGCTTGTAACCAACGCTCAATAAATATTAGCTATTAATGTTATTACATGTGTCTTAATTTGGAAGTAATATCACGAGAGAAGCCTCTCTGAAAACAGAAGTGTCTTCTGAAAAAAGAAAGGTTTGAAAGGAAATAATAAAATAATTCAGAACCAAGAATACTTTAAACAGGTATACTACGATATAATCCTGTCCAACCTTTTGAGCTAGGACAAAGTTCCAATTGTGAACAAAGTTGAATGGTGCTACATCTTTAATGTATCCTCACCCAAATCAATCAATTGCTACCATTTTACTACATTTCTCTTTCCCCATTCCCATGTTTGAGGCAGACAGACGGACAGATACACACACAATTTTTTTTTTTTTTGAACTCTGTGAAAGTAGATTACAGAAAAGGCCCTTCACTAAAGCAAACTTCCTTCCTATTCTCTTTCCTAAGGAAGGAAGTGGCTCACATTTCTCTCATAATCCTATTGCAGCAGAGCAGCACTTTGAGGCTGTGGTATTCCAGGAGTTCAAGTCACTCTCTTTTGCCTGCATGAGCCTGGAGCTCAGGCTCCTGTTGCCAGGCGTAGTCCTTGAGTCTTAAAGCTGGGCTCTATCCAACACAGGGTCTTCTGCTGTGTTTATTGCTCTGGCAACCTGTGTTTATTGCTCTGGCTCTGAATTCTCTTTTGTGTTACTAGCACCCATGGATTTTCTGTTCTTATTTTTTGAGCTTAGCTGTGTATTAACTTTGTTGCTTTCTCTCCCTCCCACCCATTCTGTTGTATTTGTGGAAAGGAGAGTCAGTGAGACCATGTCAACTTAGTCTTCCATATTGCTGGAAGTCTTTCCTCTAGTGATTTATGCTTTTTTTTTTTTTTAAAGATTTATTTATTTATTTATTCATTTATTTATACATACAAGCACTGGGTACAGTCAGAAGCGCGGGAGGGTTAATGAATTCACCAGAGCCAGAGCGGGGAGCAGAGCAGGCAGAAGGACCGAAGTACACTGCTAAGGGGAGCAGTGGGTGGCAGGAGAGGTCTGCGCGCCATGTGGGACCCTCCTCCAGTGGCCGGGGAACAGCTGGGGATCGAACCGGCGCCGCAGTGGCTGCGGGCAGCTTTGCTACCCAGCGCTCAACCGTTGCGCCACCGGGGAGGCCCTAGTGATTTATTCTTATATTTAACAATCATGTTAGAAAAGATTCCTTACAGTTAGCCTAAACACTTCAAAGTGACTCTCAAGGCAGCAGTAGTAGAGATGAAGATGATGACAATAATGATAATAATAAAGGTGTAAGCTGAATACCTATTACTCTGATTTAATCATAACCACAACCCTATGAGATCAGTAAAATAACATATAGGCTACTGGTAACAAGCAAAGCTCAGCCAGGATTCAAAGCCCAAGTGGCTCTTGCCTACTCTCTCCTGCCTTTTTTCCCTACTCATTCTCTCCGCTCAAATCATACTACATTTTCTAACCTTCACTTTCTTCCTCTCCATATTTCTCTGTTTTCAATAAGCAACCTGTACTCTCTGGAAGAACCTTCCGTGTCCAATTTGCTGAGCTACCACCAACTCATAAATCTTCAGTTTATGCACTTTCTTAGAGAAAAAGACTTTTTTTTTCTATTTCTAAACATCAGTTTAGATTCCCTGTCATGGTTCCATTATCTTTACATACCATTTGAATTATGTATAATGTTAGAAGTCATTTGTTTAATGTATTTGTTTAATGTGATGAGGGCAAGGACAGTCTGACTTATTCCTTCATCCAGTAAACATTGGATGACTTCAACGAACATTTTGAATACTCATTGGAAATAAGACAAAAATTTCTGTCCTCATGAACTCACATTCTACTGGGGAAACATCAGCAATAAACAGAAAGAAGGAATAAAATAAATGGAGTCTTAGGTGGTGATTTAAATTATGGAGACAATTAAAGGAGGGAAGGGGACAGGAAGAAGGATCTGCAATTTTAGAATAGGAGGTCAAAAATAACTTCACCGAAGTGACATTCCAGCAAAACAATGGAAGGCCTGGAAGGCAAGTTACACCAATATCTTGGGGAAAACTATTTTGGAGAGACTTACAAAACAGCTAGAAAAGCTCGATTGGTAGGACCCTGCCAGGCGTAGTTGAGGAAGTAAAGCAAGGTTCTCAGTGTGGTTAATCAAGTTAAGAGAAGAAATCAGGAAGGTAATGGAGGCCAGATTGTAGAGGGCCTTGCAAGAACTCTGGCTTTTATGTAGAGAGTATGGGTAATTGAGTATAGATGACAAAATATGACTGTTTCATCTGGGCCACTCTAGTTGCTCTTTGGAGAAGAGGTAGTAGAGAAAAAAGGACTAAAACACGAAGAAAAAGGAACAGGAGAAATATAGGATGACTTGGACCAGGTGATAGCAGAAATGGATTCAAATTCAGGATGTCTTTTGAAAGTAAGACAATTTATTTCTGTGACTATGCGCCTGACACACAGTAGATGCTCTATAAATATCTGCTGAAAGTGAGTTAATGACTCTGAATTTCATGATCTTAACCACTGCACTATACTTCCTGTAGTAACAACCATTGTGCTACTAGTAAATTCTCAGTGGAAAGGCACAGGAGTTTTTTGATTATATGAATTCATATGCAGGTAGGCACAGCAGTATAATGAAATGAACAGGGGATTTAAAGTCCTAAGAAGTGGATTTGAGCCTTGGCTTTGATAAGTAAGTTATTCAACTTCTCTGGTTTTTAGCATCTGCAGTATATGAGCAACATCTACTTCATAAGGCCATGCAGAAGTTAAATATAATATTTATATATGGGGTAAATGCATTAAAATTAGAGTACCCTACAAATCTCAGGTATTGTTAAAGACTAGGCTTCTAGCCAGAAGGCAGCTCTCACATTTGACTCCAAAGTTGTTTGATCTATCTTTTCAAAATTATCACATGTTCAGCAATGCCTTTGTTATATACAGGAACCAGAAGCTGGATAGAACTTGAAGGTAAAGATCACTATCATAAAGCTCCTCAGCGTTTTCTTTTCCAAATCAATTATGATTTCTTAAACTTTTCATCATGTTCTATTTTCTAGCATTTGTAAGTTTCTTTTCAAGGGTATGAAACATCAATGGGTAATGAATACCCCATCACTGTGTAACTGCCTTGTTATTTTTCTAATAGAATTTCAGGTCTACAGTAAGTTTTTTATTTCATCTTACCCATGCTGTTACAATCTTAAGTCAATCTGAATAGGGCTACATAGTCCATCACATTTGAGTCAAATGATTGCCATTATTACTACATAAAGTTTTGTAACATCTTATTCTTTAATAAAAAAATTTCCAAACCTCAGAGTTGAAATATGATTCTTCTTGTCCTCGATCATCTCTGCCTTTGTCACTTTTTTGTGTAGATTTAATAAATCCAGGTGGCAATGCAGGTCCTATTATAGGCCTGAAATATAAAATGTACCTTTATCAGTATCTTTAAAAGGCAGCTTTCAGAATAAAAAGTTCATAAAAATAACAAAGTCAGATAATAACAAATGTTGAAAATGAGGATTTTATTTAGCCTATCATTTTTATTATATAACCTTGTGTTTTACTGTTAGCTTAACAAATTTATTTTATTTATTTTAACTTGGCTAGTCAATGACTAGATATTAAACCTGCAATTCTCAATCTTTGTGTATGTCCACTTCCTAAAGAAATTATGTTAAATAAAAAATGTATTTTTTAAAAAGTTCTCATTATGAACTAAAGCCTGTGAAGATCTTTTTCTATGTTATGCCATGGATTCTGTCTTGGTATTCACTCTCCAGCAAATAACACCTTTGGGACATGGTAATTATAGTTGGAACTATTAAGTATGGAGCTCTCAGAACATATATTGCATATGTCTATCAACAGATGACAGTCATCTGTATGTCAAGGTAGTATAAAAATCTAGAGATTATCCTCACTAATAATCCAGTAAGGATGTGGAAGTGTACAAGAATGAAAATAGTTCATTTGTGATCCACAGAGAAGGAAAAAGATGCCAACCACATGTCAACCCATATACCTTTCTATTTCCTTACAACAGTGTAGGTTGGTATAAGTCATTCCTTTTCTGGGCGAGGAAAATAACGCCAAAAGACAACACAAACTAGTAAGTGTCAGGACTAGAGTGTGAACCCTGGTCTGCTTGAAGCCAAAGTTCATTTTCTTTCAAAGGACCCTGTTACCACATTCTGAGGGAATGTGGCATCATCAGTCTAAATGAGATTTGCCAAAACTGTGGGTTTTGAAAGGAGAAAGTCCTATGTTGTATAGGAAAAAAATAAAAGATTCTTTCTATGCACTTTCTTAGTTTTAAGTTTCTGTGCCCTTTTTTTCACACCAATGTTTTTTCCAGAGATGTCACTGTGCTACTGTTACCAACCAAGATGGCACTGAAGTCACAAGCTGAATTTTCTGGGTTGTACTGTGTTCAATTATATATATATATATATATATATATATATATAAAATTATGTGTGTGTATATATATACACACACACACACATGCATGTATATGTGCAAGTGTATGTCAGGGGGAAAAACAGTAATGAACATCAGAAGCTATCAGTTCCAATCCTGGCTATTTAATAACTTCTTGTTTTGGGTCATAAAACCAGAACATTTCTGCACTTGAAAATGGGGAAGTATGGCACTGTGAGAAAGATTATATTATCATTTCTAAGCTATAATGAAGTACTTCATGGATTTTTTTCTGTGTAATTTTTAGCAATCTACAAGTGCAATTGCAGTTCATTTTCTGGCCTTGGGGAATTTGTGAGAATAAAATCACTGGTACATAAAATCTTAAAACATTGTAAAGCTGTGTAAATATATGCTATCATCTGTTTATTATTGCCAAAATATAATTTTCAAGAAAGAAATTCCTGCAGCAGCTTTCCTGCCTGCCCTGTGACTGTGTTTCTCTTCACCAACCTTGTCCTGTTGCAAAACAGCAGAGGCAGCTCTCCTCCAAGCCTGCCCACCTGGGACTATGCAGGTGTTTCTTCTAACAAACCTGTCCCATTCAGGGAAAGCTCTTTCTGCCCACTTGTGTCTGTGCAAGCATCCTTTACATCCCTCCCTTTTTTATAATAAACCTGCCCTTTTAATATTAAAAAAAGAAAGAGATAAAGAAATTCTTATACATCTAATACTGTGTTTTCCTGAAAGAAATGCAATAGCCCAGCAATCAGCAAATTTCCTGGAAAGGGTGGATAGAATATTTTAGGTTTTAGGAGTCACATTTGGATCTCTGTGGCATATCTGTCTTTGGTCTTTCAAAAGATCCCTTAAAGATTATCCTTAGGGATCATACAAAGTCAGTAGCCATCTATGTCTTTTTAAAAAAAGATCAAGGTTGCATGAACATTAGAGCTGACAAATGTGATAATAAACTTGGAATACAAACTGTACAACAATCCTTTCTACCTGTTCTTGCACCATGTTATACAGTGCTATGAATTTTAAGTAACTTGGTATGTCAACTTCATATTAACAGGAATCAATATTTACTATGTTTACCCTGTGCCAGTCACCATGTAAGATACACTCGTGTGTGTGTGTGTGTGTGTATGTATGTATATAAATATGAAACCCTATCATTACGACATTCTGTAAGGAATAATGTGTTATCCTGCTTTACATATAACAAATCTGAGGGTAAAAGATGTCAGTCAAACTGTTCAAGTTGGCACACAGGAATTTATTTCTATCAACAAATAGCTTAGAAAATATTTGAATTTGAGTAAAATACCAGGATTCTAGCCCCAGGTTTACCACTTATTATGTATGCAACCTTATCTATCTGAAAAAAAGGAGGCAGGAGGATGCATGATCCCATTTACCACAAACTATTTTGTAAGTATCAAATAGGAGTTATGGAAGTTTTTTTTTATAAACTATAAAAAGTGTTATAAACATATAAATAATTTAACTTTAATTATTTGTTATTATATGAATTATTATGGGAATTTCAAATGTTATACAAATATAAGTTAGAAACGATTTCAGACAACTCTTCAATTAATTAACAGACACTAGCTGAAATATTCAGAAAACACTGGCCTGAAATATTACACATTATCACCTTGGAGGAGAATCATCCTGCTTCTTAAATCCAGGAGGAAGGGCTGGTCCAAAAAACCCTTCGTCGTCATCATCACCATTATCCTCATTTTTCCTCTGTTTTCTAAGGGAAAAAAATTTTTTTGCACAGAGAAATTTTAATTTTTAAAGGAAACATTAATTTCAACTAATAAGTTCTACCTGTTCTTACACCATTGTATACAGCATGCCAAATAACATAAATACTAAAACAACAAATCAAGCTTGCCAAATTAAAAAAAAAGGATATGACAACTACTTAATCTTTTATTGTTAGACTAAAATAGACTTTGATTGCCTCTTTACAACAATAATATGTCAATTTTGTAAATTTCTGTAGTATTAAAGATTCTAACAATCTACTTGCTAGATGCTTTTGAGAAAAAAGTTTAAGACTTTGACCTTTAATTTCATTTAAGAAAGGGTTTTAAGTTGCTATTTCTGTCTCATAATGTATCAATATTTTAGAATGTATCAACCCCTCCCAAAAAAAAACACACTTGCTACCCAAGAATAAACAAATATTCCACTTCTTATTTACAGAGACCTGTGGTGATTTAAGGATGGATAGAAAGAAATCATGATTTATTTAAACAAAAAAATATACAGCGTAAGTAATTTTTAAAAAGAAATTCCACAGTTTATTTAGAATATTTAGCCACTTAAATAATACCTTAAATAAAAATCCTTTACATATGAATTTCTTAAAATCTAGATACCTCTATAGTTATATACTACTAAATTTCTTTTTAAAATATATAGTGCATGAGGAATTGTCACATCACAAGATTTTTCCCTGTGTTTTATAAATGCGACATGATATCCCCTTTCCAGCAACCTGTTTTAGCTGATGAATTATAGGTTTGAAGATTGACTTAGCATTTCGTTGAAGTAACTGACCTTGCAGTTGGACCATTGTCATCTTCTTCAGATTCTTGATTTCCTTCTTCATACAAAGAACTACTGTCTTCATCGCTGTCTGATGACTCTGAACTACTGCGTTTATAATTAGGGGGCAGAGCTGGTCCTGCAACTAAGAAGATTTTTTTTGTGTATGTTATAGCTAGCCACAGTTTTTTCCATGAAGACCTTAGCTGGCACATTACACTTCCCTTACTGACATTCAGAGCACTGTCTAACATTTACTATGAACTTTAACTTCATTTGCTCCTATTTTATGTACAATGTTTTATCTTCCCAACTCCAGAAAGGCAGTTGTCTTTTACAGTATAACTATGAGAATCACAAAAACTTACAATCTCTTCCCCTGTAATCAAAGGGAAAACAAAAAAGCTGGGCATAGATTCAGAAACATTATTAGGCAGTGACAGAAAATTGAAGGCATTTTTTTTAAGATGACATCTACCTTTCCAGCAAAGGAGGGGGGAAGAGTTTTTACAAAGTCAATGTTGATAGTGTGGGAAAGAGCTGTATGGAGTAATCTCTGAGGAGTGCTGGACAGAGTGGGGGACACAGTTAGGAAAGGACTATAAATTTTAGTAGCATTATCTGTGGATGTATGGTTTCTTTTAGCAGCATTTGGAAGCCTGGGTGTAGCCTCACAAGAGGTAAACATTTATTGATCCAGGGCTAGGTTTTTGCCAGATGGGTTTAACAGAATACAGAATGAAATAAGGTAGTTGAAAACTGCTGGCTAGAGGATGAATAGATGAATGGACCATGGAATCTAAGTTGAGAAGGAACAGAAATAATTTAAGGAAGAAAACCAAAAAGGATAGAGGCAGACATTGAATGGCTCAAAGAGATTAAAAGACAAAGATAAAAAACAGTGTAATGGAAGCAAGTAAGTGAGAATGATGGGATGAATAGTGGGAATGAGATTGGAATTTTAATTTCTAGAGATGGAATAGGGTCCAGTGTCTGAGTACAAAAACAATTGAAATTAGTATAAGTGAAGGTCACTGCAGATGAGGAGAATGGTGTTAAGAGTCAAAATAGCCAACGCTCAACTAAGCTTCCACATAGCAGCAAACAGACTGTGTGGACTGGCTTTGAGAAAATATTTGTACCCCAGTGATTCCAACAACATGATTTTAGGAGCCATTTACCAACATTCAATTTTCAGGGCCTTCTGAACAAAGTTAATTTGTCCCATCTCAGACCTGTGTGCTCTCTCGCTCTTCTGAACTCTGGTCATACCTGTCAGTGATCTCTTTCAAGGTAGGTGAGTATGAGGAACACACGTAGCTATTACACCAGATTCAAGAAAACCCACCAGAAGGAAATTCTGACACGTTACATCATCAGTGAATCTTCAGGAGATTATACTAAATGAAATAAGTCAGTCACAAAAAAGACAAATACATGATTCCACTTATATCTGAGTTACCTAGAGCAGTGAAATTTATAGAGACAGAAAGAATGGTGGTTGCCAGAGGCCAGGGGAAGGTGGGGTGTGGGGGTGGAGCAAGTATGCAGGTATTGTTTAATAGGTGGAGAATTTCAGTTTCGCAAGATGGAAAGAGTCCTGGAGATGGATGGTAGTGATGGTTATATAACAAAGTGAATATACTTAACACAACTGAACAGTACTCTTAAAAATGGTTAAGATAGTAAATTTTATTTTATTTGTATTTTATTTAAAAAAAAGGAATTCCCACCCTTAGCAGGGCACCAGGTTCCTTCCAGGTCCCACACAAAGGTGGTTGGTAACTGCATTTATACTGGTCCTGGCTGACCCTCTGGCCTGAATTCTAGGTTCCTCTTAAGGAATTTTTACTCTCTCCTCTACTTGGTCAATAGGAACCTATTGAGCAGTAATAGTCCTGGGAAGTGCAGAAGACCTAGGATGTGGTCTTTTTCCTTGGGGAACTCAAGGTTTAGTGGGGAAACCAGCAAACAGGAAATTATAACCCAGTGCAATAAATGCAGACGGAGAAAGCAGTTTGTTCCCAACCCTCACCACTCAGTGTCCTGGCACCAGCAGGACCAGCAGCAGCAGCATTTGGAGCTTGTTAGAAATGCTGAATCTCAGGTCTCACCCAGACCTACAAATCAGTCTGCATTGTGCTAAAACCAGGACAGTCCCAGGCACTGAGAGGTTAATTCGGTCTTTGTTTCTCAAGTTGCAAGATGTCAGTGCAATACATTAAAATCCTGAAAGGAGAGAGAAGAGAAGGAGGGAGAGTGGGTAGGATGTTGAAGGATACTGTCTTTTTATCATGCAAATCTGATGTCAGACCTTGGTTTAAAGTTCTTAAAATCATTTTATACACAAAAAACAACATACTGTATGATTTTCCTTCTGACAGTATAAAAAGCAAATCAATCTGTTCCGCTAGCCATCATAAAGGTAGTTACTCTTGGAAGGAGTAGTGATTAGAAGGGGCATGCAGGGGCCATCAGCATGCTGGTTACACCACTATGTGCTACTGTGAAAATTCATCAGTGTATTTTAAGTATATTTTCTGTACCTATATTTACATTTCAGTAAAAATTTTAAGGAAAAAACCCCACTTCAATGGCACCCCATTATTCTTGGAATAGAGGCCAAAAAGTCCCTAACCTGGTCTTTGAGGATCTGCTAGAATGTGGCATCCAGGTGGGCAGTGGTAATCTCATCTCCCTCTTGGACTTCTCTGCTTAAGTTTCTTGGTTTTCTCTGTTTCTGCAACCTATCATGTTCCACCTTACTCTAAATTCTTCACATATGTTTCTCAGTCCTTATTCTCCCTCCTCCCCCCAAGCTTGATAATTTTGCTCATCTTTCAGGGTTCAGTTCAGAACATACTCTTAAGACATTCAGGTGTTATGGGTCTCCTGATGTGATAAAATATGAAGTTCACTGGCTTTCTCTTCTTAACCAAAGTATTCTTAAAGTAATTTTTCTTTTTATTTGGTTGACATAGGGTCATTGTAAAACACCACATATCTATCTTTAGACAATTAGAAATTTGAGGCACTTTTCTTCAACCTTAGTTGAAGGGAAACTTCCTGGCTAAAATAAAAGCACGACAATAATGGCTGTAACAGAAATGAGATCTGGAAGGAAACCTTTAGTTGGAAACATATCTCTGGACAGTCAAATAATGAAAATCAGGTTTAGAAATGAAAGGGTTATTCTTTCAGCTTTAATCTTTTCCAACTTTAGTGTCAGTGTCAGCCTTCAAATTAGAACAAACATTACAGGAGATAGTATGTATGGAAGAATCCCTGAAGATTTTCTTGGCAAATATGAAGTGCCTACTGTGCATTTAGACTAGAAGACTATAGTGCAGTGCTGGAGAGAGATGCCAACAAGTTATTAAAAAACCATTAAATATGTAATGAAATTAAGCATGGGGAAAAAAAAAAAACCCTGTGGATAAAGAGGAAGGCATGACAAAGTTTGGGTGAGTTCGGAAAGGCCTCATTGAGGTGTCATTTAAGTTGGACCTTTCCTTAAAGGTAGAAGTTTGTTGGCTATATAAAGAAGAAGAGAGAGAGGCCAAAAGGAGCACAGGGAATTGGGGAACTGCGCAGAAACTATAACAGGTTTGAGCACTGCGCAGTGTGTGCCAAAGGCAATGACAGATCTGAGGCTGGGAAGGTAGGTCCGGAGCCGGAGAGCAAAGGATCTTCTGCAAGAGCCAAGGACATTATACATCAGAAGGCAAGCTGGCACAGAGCACACTTCGTTTAAATCGCTCTCCACTACTTACTAACTGTGTGATGTGGATAATAACCTGGGACTCAGTGCCTCCGTTTGCAACGTAGAAACAATCATACAGTTGCTAGGATTAAATAACTTCAGAGTGTGAGTGTGTGTGTGTGTGTGTGTCGTTTACAAGAGTTCAGCCAACTAAGAGTTGAATGGGAATACATCATCATTATAATGATTACCAGGCTCCGATCTGAGGCCCTTGGCCTTTCTCACTTACTCCCGCGGCCTGTGAAGGAAAGCAAGCTGGGGCCGCGCCGCGCCCACCGTCCACTCCTTCCACCTCTCAGGTTTCAGACCCTTCCTCAGAGAGCAAGGCTGGGTCAAAGAAGTGGGCGGGCGTAGCGGTCCGGGTACGCGCCGCTGCTTACCTGGGCTTGGGTCTCGCTCCTCGTCCTCCGCTGTCCCGCGGGTCTTGAAACCCGGCGGTAGCGCGGGTCCGATGAGATCCCTCGCCATCCGGGTGGCGGACACTACTCACACTTGCACGTCTCAGTCTACCCAACAGGGAGCCTGAGCTTGGCGGCCAGCGCGGGGAGCTTTTCCGGCGCCGACCAATGACGTTGCATCCCGTGGTTGGCCGAGCCGTGTGGTCGCGTACCGGAAGTGACGCCTAACGTGTGTTCCACAGTCGCATGGTAGGATCCTAAGCTGGCGGGTGGCATGGCTGAGCCGGCTGGAGGCTTCGTGACTTCCCCGGCATGGTTTCCCGCCGCAGAGCTGCCCCCCGCGTTGGGACCTCCGAGCGACACTGCCCCGCCGTCGGACAACTGGATGCTCTGGGCAATGCTGCCGCCACCACCACCGCCTTCGTCGTTGCCTCCTGCAGCCGGGCCACACGCTTCCCAGGCTCAGCCCCCCAAGAAGGCCCAGGCTGTCCCCGAGGCGCCGCCCCCCTTCGATACCCAGATTCTTCCCGGTGCGCAGCCCCCCTTTGACGCCCAGTCTCCCGTTGACTCTCAGCATCAACTCAATGGCCAACCTGCCTGGAATTTCCAGGCTTCCACCTCATGGTACTGGGGACAGTCTCCTGGTGTTTTCCCTCAGCATCAGAAGTCGCATAACACTCCAGGTAGGTTATTTTCTCTGTACCACCTTTTTGTACCTTCTGTTCTTCTCTCTCCCATTTATCGCCGCTGCTGAGTCTACCCTGCGCTCTTGGAGACTGGTCATTAATGTTTTGCTGAGTCTACCCTGCATTCTTGGAGACTGGTCATTAATGTTTTGTAGCGTGATCAATTCAGTTTAGTAGTTATTTATCGAGTTCCAACTGAGTGCCAGGGACTGAGAATATATCAGAGAACAAAACATACAGACATCCATAGTTTAATGGAACTTGATATCTGGTGTAGAAAGACAGACCATAAGCGAAGTGAAACAGTGTGTATTGGAAGGCAATGAGTGGTGCTATGGAGTAGTAGGTTTTTTTTTTTTTTTAAGATTTATTTATTTATGCATACAAGAGCTGGGGTACAGGCCAGAGATGAAGGGGGGGTGGAGGGAGAAGAGAGGATTCACCAGAGACAGAGTGGGGAACAGAACAGGCAGACTGACTGAAATACACTGCTGAGGGGAGCAGCGGGCCAGTCAGGAGAGGTCTGCTGCGCCATGTGAGTTGCTCCCTGGCCGGCCAGGGGATCAAACTCGTGCTGCAGAGGCTGCAGATTGCTTCATAGTGCGGTGCTTAACCCCTTGCACCACCAGGGAGGCCCCTGCTATGGAGAATTTTAAAAAAGAACAACAGTTATTGCAGTTTTAAATGTCAGTCATAAGGAAGTTGACATTTGAGCAAAGATTTCAGGGAGGTAGATCAGAGCCATGTATGCATCTAAGGTGATAGGAATATAGGCAGAAGGAACTACAAGCATAAAGACCTGAAGCAGCACATAATGGAAGACAAGAATGGAAACCAGTGTGCTAGAGAGCACTGAACCCTAGGTAGAATTGTAGAAGTTTGGGGGAAAGGCAACTATTTTAGCACTTTGTAGACTGCGAGACTTTGACTTTCACTGTTATGATATAGGTCGTGCAGGGGAGTGACATGATTTGATTTGTGCTTTGAAAAGAATAATGTGGGTACTGATTGGAATAGAGTAGCAGGGAGACTATTTAAAAAGCTATTGCAGTTATCCAAGTAATAGATACTGGAATTTGGACTAGGGTGAAACTCAGGAGATGGTGAGTGATTGGATTCTAAATATATTTTGAAGCTACATTAGCGCCAGCATGATTTGCTGAATGATAACATATGTGGGGTGTGAGGTGAAGAAGAGACAGGAATAACAAATTTTTTTTTGCCAAACATTTGGAAGTATGTGATTAGAGCCGATTTGGAAAATAAACCAGGAATTGAGTTTGGAATATGTTTGTTTCAAGTGGAGTTATTGAATAGGCTGTTAGCTATTAGTTTGTACTTTCAGGAGAGGTTGGTGCCTGGAGCTGTAAATGTGGTGTCATCAGCGTATAGGTTATAACTGAAGTAACAGAATTCTCCAACTTTGCATAAGATTCATTTTGCATTAAATTAAATTCAAATCAGTGTTTACTGTGTGCCAAATGCTGGGACTATGAATGTGCATGAAACAGTCCCAGGTCAGGTGATTTCTCATATATAAATCACAGTACAGTATGACAGAGGATAGAGGCATGTAAAATGTGATTTCAGAGTGGGGAGGAAATTGGGGAAAGCTTTTGGAAAGTGTCTTGGGAGGTGTTTAGGATTTGGAAAGAGATACGTCTTAGGGAGAGTATGCGTTCTGAAGATTGCAGTATTCTGGTGTGACTGAAACATTCTGTAGGGTGTTTTGGGACGAGTAGGGTGAGAAAATAAACTGGGATTTCACTGAAGGACTCCAGGAAAATTTTTGAGCAGGGTTGTGATTGGAGGAATTTTGGAGTGTCACTGTGCAGGATCTGTTGGAAGAGAGTTTAGAAACTGGCAGACAGCCTGGAAGTTGGCACAGTAATCTAGGTGAAAGATCAGGATTTCAGACTTCTGTTGTGGCAATAAAAAAGGAAAGGAATTTGGGAGAAAACGTGTTTCACAGATTTCTGTTTTTCTGGTGTAAAACTGATGCTGAAAGAGATGTATTAGGGATTTTATGATTTACATTTCTAATGTTTGAAATAGCTACAACAAATTTTATCAGGTTAGCTTGTCCATTCCTTGACATAGATGCCTACAGTGTAATTTCACTAATAAGCATTAATTTGTAAAGTATTTATTTGACAAACTATTCTTAATCTTTATTAATTTGTTTGAACTCCTAATCATCTTGGAATACTTTATCACTATTTTTACTCAAGTATTTGGAGAGTGCTCTAGCAGATAAATTTTTAAACAATTATATAACTGCACGTATTTATTGGTCTTTTTATTTTTTTAGTGAAACATCCTTATTTTCCACGAAAATATGATGCACAGTTCACTGATAACAACTTCCCTCCCAGTAGAAAACAGAAAAAAAAGGTATATATAAAAATGTTTTTGAATGTGACACTTTAGTCTAATGGCACAGTTTTGTATCTATGTTTTTATAACCGCCTTCGTGTTTTACATCCATTATCACCACCAAGGAACCTTGCTATAATGAGATCTTTAAGGGTCTTAGCTGTGAGTAAAAACTTCAGATGTGATCTTTTTGAGAAATAAATGGAGAAATTGTAGAAAAAGAAAACATTGAATCCATTTCACTATAGCATCAGGAGAAATGCATTTAGGAAATATGACTATAGGTAAATATAAATGCTCTCAAGCCTTGATGAAGTGCTCTGTGCATGTGTGTATGTGTGTGTGTCTGTGTGTGCATGTGTAAAATTAGCAGATTGGGAGGTTGGAGCAGAGGCATGGAATAAATTGTCTTTTTTTAAAGTGAAGAACAATTCTTCGTTATTATACTTTAGAAATCAAATGTTGAAATACATTTCTTTTATTTCGATGTTGCTTACAAATCTATAGTCTTTCAGATTTTAAAGTATACATGTCATTTGTTTAGAATGAATTGAGTAATGTCTGCAGCATAAAACTACTCTTCTTCATTTTGGCATTAAAAACCATATCGGTAATGTTAACAAAATATCGAGCAAATTTACTATATATATTAACACCATCCAAACATTAAATTATTGGAAATTATTTCCTCATTGTCTGGTTATTGTAATGCTCTGCTTTGTTTTATGTTTAAGCGTAAACAGCATATTGGGTACAAAAAGTTACTAATCTTTACGTTAATGATTTTTTTTTCTTCTTTATGGTTTAAAAAAGAGAGAGACATAATTGTTTTTCCTGAAAGATGAAGAACTATTTTTTACCTTTCATTTTTTGTTCATTTTGACATAATGCTATATTGAATGTAAATTAGTTACCAGTTTGAAATATACTCAGTTTCTGTTAGCACTATTCAGATTTAAACATTCTTTTATCATGTATGTCTTTTCCTAATATATTTGCTTAAAATAAAAAGAATTACCCTTTCTTTAAAAAATGTATTCTGAAGTTTCTTCTACATTTAAGAGTGATGTGAAAAATCAAAGAATCTATTACTGGAAGTATAATTATATTTTTATTATTGAGTAAAGACTTTTTGCCAAAAGCCTAATGCATCTTTGTTTTTTGTTTGCAGAGAAGAAAGGAGCCTGTTTTTCACTGTTTTTGTGATACCTGTGATCGTGGTTTTAAAAATCAAGAAAAGTATGATAAACACATGTCTGAACATACGAAAGTAGGTTTCTTTGATTGTTAAATTTGTTTAGCAGAATGGATATATTTGGTAGAAATTCTGAACCTTTTATCCTTAATAGTTTATAATTTTCATAGAAATGTTGTTATAATAACTTAACGAATTAGGACAGTGACCCTGGGGTTTGCAGATTGAGAGTGTAGAGCCCACTGCTTCAGGAAGAGGCAATGTAGCAGAGGAGAAGGGCCATCTGTCAGTTGTTTGTATGTGTGTGTTGTCTTGGCTTCTGAGAGGACTGACTTCTTCTCCATTTGCTCTGTGCACCTACTGAATTCTTTCCCCTTTAAGGCTGCTCTTGATCCTTTAACCAGGCTATAATTTGCCATGTCCATTCAACCTCTGAGGGTGGCCTGAACTGTATTAAATGATTTTTAAAGAAAATTTTAATTAGAATATTCTTAGTTTGGAAATGTTCTTTGTCATTTTATAGGCATGCCCCTCAACTTTAGGAATTAAGAATATTTTACAATATTGCTGATGTCATGCATTCTTTCAAGTAGAGAAGTAAATGATATGTATTGTTATACTGTATACTTCAAGAATGTTATTCCTTCTTAAAAGCAACTCTGTTTTGAAGATATACTTGTTTTGCTATTGACATCACTATTCACATCCGTAGTGGTAACACCACATTGATGAGAAGGCTATGTAATGTGACCAGAATATGTCTCTTACGTAGTAGTAGGGTAAATTTAATATGAAAAACATTGAGTAGTCTAAAATAGTCTTTTTCTTAACAGTGTCCTGAAGTAGATTGTTCTTTTAGTGCACATGAGAAGATTGTCCAGTTTCATTGGAGAAATGTAAGTTCTTAAGTGTTTTTTGGATACATGCTGTTTTTATTTCATTGATTCATATAGACTAATAATAAGTAACATTCTTGGAGTACTTTGTTAAGACTTTCTGTATCTCTTATTCCATTTTATCCTTACAAGCCACTATGTGAAGTAAGTAATATTGGCTTTGTTTATTTTTTTAAAAAATATTTACTTATTTTTATACAAGAACTGGGGTACAGGCCAGATGCGTGGGAGGGAGAGAGGATTCACTGGAGACAGAGGCAGGGAACAGAATAGGCAGACTGACAAAATGCACTGCTGAGGGAAGCAGCGGGTGAGACAGAAGAGGTCTGCGTTGCCCTGTGGGATTCTTGGTGGCCGGCCAGGATCGAACCTGTGCTGCAGAGACTGTGGATAGCTTCACAGTGCGGCGCTCAACAAAGCCAATATTGGCTTTGTTCAACAGATAAAACAGTGATTTGACCATGACCTCAGAATTGATTCTTGTACTTGAGTTACTGATTCTAAATTTTATACTGTTTTATTATACTATGCTGCTTAAAATCACTGTGTATTATTTCTTTAGCTGCCTCCTTCAATTTTGGTTGGTAGGTCATTTTTGAGTATTTAATGTCAGTTCAGAAAATGAGTAACATCTAATTCATAATCAGAATTATGTCACCTTTTTACTCCTTATTAATTGTTCTAATCTAAATAACCAAGAAATTATTACTATTTTTCTTTAAAGGAAAAATTATAGTAAGGTTATATATAATCCATGCACTTGTAGTTTTAGAATTGTCTCTGCTAGTAAATTTAATGGTCAGTGCAAAGTTTTCATTATCCCTCATAATACTTGAGAATGTCAGAAGCATAAATGTGCTTCCTGAAGTTCAACAGGCATTTTCTTCCTAGATGCATGCTCCTGGTATGAAGAAGATCAAGTTAGACACTCCAGAGGAGATTGCAAGGTGGAGGGAAGAAAGAAGAAAGTGAGTAAAAGATTCAGAACTAGTAAAATAATTTTCTTAACTTTAAGGCTGAGTACTTCAAAATCATGACCTTTCTGGCCCCAATGAATAATTTAAAAAAGGAAATTTGATTTTGTACATTGTTGCAAATATTCAATTGAAAATAACTGGTCCTGATTTTGTTGCTGTTCAGATTTGGTATATAGTGAGTTTGAGAATATTGTTACTTGATGGTTTAAAGATAAACATTCATTTTTATTGTGTAGTATTGATTCACTGAATTCCCTTACAATGTTGGTATTAGGGAACAGGACTATAAGCAATACTGTATGAGACTATAAATGAGTGTAGTTTTTGGAAGACCTAATAACATCTCTTCATAATAACACTTATCAAAATGGGGCTGTACTTTATTTACTCTGTGAGGAAGAGCCACTACATGCCACCTATTTTAAATATTCAGTGGCAGAAGCTATAAGGTGTATACGCTGTTTTTTTAAAAAAAAAGTATAATACTTTGCTATGTTTATTTGATTTTTTTTTCATCAAAAATTTGTTGAATGACTGCAATATCCTAGGCAGAGTATAGTAAGGGCAATATATGTAGTGTTTCCCATGTACTATAGAAAGACTGGAAATTGTTTCTATAAGCAAAGTGTAAGAAATTTGAGACTGACTATGGACTTGTGACTTTAGTAATTTCTTAGGCAAGAAAATCTAGTATATGTCCAGCTTGAATATTCTTTTTTTCCTAAACTATGTTTACTCTTTCACCTTTTATTGCCATTGTTTCTTTTCTAAAGATTTATTTATTTATTTATTTATTTATTTATACAAGCACTGGGTACAGTCGGAAGCACAGGAGGGTGAGAGGATTTATTAGAGCCAGAGCAGGGAACAGAACAGGCAGAGTGATGAAATACACTGCTGAGGGGAGCAGCGGGTGCGGCAGGAGAGGTCTGTCATGCCATGTTGGACCCTCGCCGGCAGCCGGGGATCGAACTGGCGCTGCAGAGGCTGCGGGCAGCTTCGCAGCCCAGCGCTCAACCGCTGTGCCACCAGGGGAGGCCCTAGCTTGAATATTCTTAAAGAATACCTCACTAGGACACTATTTTATGGTCTTCACAGAAAGGACTAGGATACCTTATCCTGAAGCAGGAGACTAAGACAGAACTATTAGAATGGTCATAATGTACTTTAAAATCAAATACTGTGTTTCTGAAATTATAAAACATAGGAGTTTTACCTCCCAGTACTAACCAGGCTCCAACCCTGTTTAGCTGACAAGATCAGGCACATTCAGAGTGATAAGGCCATGGAATCAACCTAAGTGTCCATCGACAGATGGCTAGATAAAAAAATTGTAGGATATATACTCAGTGGACTACTACTCTGTTGTTTAGAAAGATGAAATAGTGCCTTTTGGTACAAAATGGATGGACCTTAAGGTGATTATGCTAAATGAAGTCAAAGTGAAAGACAGATACCAGATAGTTTCATTTATCTGTGGAATATAAGTAACCAAAAAATAAATACTGGCAAAGTACAGCGAAACAAATCTTAGACTTAGTGAAAAATGAAAAATATATTGGTTACGAGAGGGAATTGGGGGAGGAAGACAGACAGGGAAAAGAAATGATAGGGCACTGGCACAGGAGGCTTGATGGAGTGGAGCATACACATATAAGGAAGAATAAAATGTAACCCCAACGTTATATAGACATGTAAAGGACTGACATTTTAAAGATACTTAAAACTCTTTTTGTCCAGCAGGATAAAATTTGTACTTCATTCAGATTAGCTTAAGTTTTCAGTTTCATACATTATTATGCTGTTCGATGCAAAAGTTAATTACTGTTCTTTAAGACTTGAGAGGTAATTTTGAGGGAAAGTAACATGAACCTAAAGATTTAAAGCAAACTAAAAATATATAGAATTCAATAAATGTGTTTATAAACATCTGTTTTAAGTACTATGTAGAGAATTGGATGAGAGTGAAGAGACAATCAGAAGAATTTAATTTTTAAGCACCTAGGATCTAGCTACCAGTTAATATGGGCTCGGTGAATTTAAAGAATTTTAGTAACATCTTTGACTAATAAATGAAGGAATCTGGGAGCAGGATATATTATAATGTCCTTTCTTATCCTTGGTAGAATCTTACTTATCTTGTAAAGACCTGTGTTAAATGTTACCAAATTTGTTATTTTCTTACTTTTTGTTTCCTGTCTCAGTACTGCCAGAGTGCCAGTCTGTCACAAGTCTCAGTACTGCCAAGTGCCAGTCTGTAAATCTACACATTGCTTCCTTCTTTGAGGAACAGATTGCAAAGAAAAAAAATGTTAGCTGAACTAAGTTTTGCTTAATGACAGAGTTACACAGTTAATTTATATTCTAAAGTAGGTGTATGGATGGGCTGCCAATCTGTGACCCAACCTAGCCCAAAGCGCCAGATGCTACCATAGACATGAATGTATAGCTTATTAATACAACCACACTAGCATTTGTTTCATCATTTTATAATTGACCCTAGTCTTAGACATCTTTGATCCTACTGTACTTTGCACAATGCCTGCAATTTAGTATGTGAAGAATGAATATTTGTTAATTAAGTTATTGTAAATAGTGTGGGAAGACCCAGTCTTGGCATTGATAAGGGAACCATAGCTAATTGCAGCATTAAACTTAGAAGTCCAGTGAAGTTAGAACCATGAAGTGATTTAACTTAGTGAATAATTCAAAGCCCTGCACATGAAGCTCCTCTTCTCTAGGTGACTTCTTTACAAAGCCAAGTTTTTGTCCTTATAACTCCACTCCTAGTTTTTTGAGGTTTATTTTTATCTGTTGGTTGTATCTTTTTGTTACTATTTTACATAGAGCAATAATCAAGCAAGAGTTCATTTTCTGTTTGAGTCTTAGTTTTTGAAGAGCTGACAGTGACACTATTGAGGACTGTAGCCTGCTAGTTGGAATGGAAATGGCTTAACTGCTGAGACACTAGATTGTTGCCTCTACTACTTAGCCCTGGCTTTGATCAGATCGAAGTTAGTATAACTCACTGGTGCTAGCTCCTTTCAAAAGTTTTTAATGCTCTCGAGGAGAATGACAATGATTTTACTAGTTAGCAATGATTATAAAGCAACTACGTAGTTGATAGGTAAACTTAGTTGTTGGATCACCCAAGTTTTTAGTTCATTTGAGACAGCTGGTAAAGTATGAGCTCCTGATTAGCTAATTTTGGTTATGTCTCTAGCAGTTGTACGAATTAAATCATTTTATAAACTGAGAAAATTGGAATTATTGTTATTGGTAGCCAACTTCAACAACTCTGTGCTATGTGTGTATTTGTTTCACTTTGCCATTATCTTCTTCTCTTCCCTGATCAACTTCTAAGAGGAAGGACCTGGCCTGGAGGAGCTGGGTATTCCTTCCAGTTCAAAGGAAGATTTGAACTGAGCTCAGACCTAACTAGGAAGAGATGAAGAGAGGCAGGAACTAGTGTCCAGACAGATTGGCTTGTCCAAGGCATGATATGATAGAAGCTTTTAAAAGCTGACAGTGGTGGAAACAGAATTAGGTTGAACATCTAGGAGAGAAAAATGGGCACTATTTAGCGGTTACATAGTTAATGAAGTTGCAGAGAAAAGAGGCTTAAAGGAGAATTCCAAGTTCTGGGTTTGAGTACCTCTGTGAAAAGTATGGTGACTGCTGCTGAGACAGGAATATTGAAAGAGGGCTTGGAGATGCTGACTTTTGACATTAATGAGTATGAGGAGGTTTTGAGATATCTATTTGAAGATATTACATGAGCATTGGGGACTAGAATGTAGGTAGGTACATTAGATCATAAAACCTTGACTGTAGAGGACATTTATCAGAGAGGGTAGAGTGAAAAGAAAAGATAGCTTAACAGTAGGAGCCAGAGAGATAGAAGGAAACTAAGAATAGGACATGCCATAGAAGTAGATGGAGAATTTCAAGAAAGAAGTTGTGGTAACCAGTGCAGATTGCTATGAAAAGTTCAAGTAAAACAAGAACAAAAAGTGACTATTTGATTAGGTGTCATAGAAGGCCTCCTTGGTGCAGATTTCAGATAATTGCTCCTTCACCCTTCTTTAAGTTTCTTGCCATCTGTCTATAGCAGTTCTAATACTCTCCCCAATGATTAGCAAGCCAGGTTGCAATTGCCTTTGCCATCCTGTCTTTGGCATATTAGATACTCCAACAGAAGTGCGTATACATTGCATTCCCTTTTTGAGACTCACAGCTTATAATGGTTCATTTAGTACCTTAGATTCAGTTTTCCAGTATCCTTAACCTTTGTTTGTATTTATTTAACTTTTTACTTTTACACCCTGGACCTTATCTTCTGAACTTTCTGCCACAGAAATTTTAAATTTGGGCATACTGTCTTTGATCGTAACTTCCATTCCATATGCTTGTCACCGTCTCTTCTGTCTGTTCTTGGACTAACTAGTTGAGTCCTCCCAGTCCTAAATTCCTTTACATTCTGTCATCTGCTTTTTGTTTTTATTTTCCCACCCAGTTTAAACCACTTCAGCCTCTCAGTATCTCAGCTCCCTTATTCCATCACCCTTCTTTGTACCCATCTGGCAAAATCTCAGTTCTGGCTTAGTTGCTAAGTGTTCTTCAAAAGAACCACACTGTTGAAATGTACTCTGCAAGTGAATAGTTACATATCATGTTTAAGGAACTGACTTGACTAATGACAAATTTAGGTGTTTTTATTTGCATTTGTTCTTTTGTTGTGAAAAATTAGATGTTTGATAGAGAGGTATTTCTTATATAGCTGACTGTGTAGAATAAAATTTCTTTGTTAAACTGATTTTATTTTACCCAGCTAAAATGCCAATGAAAACAGTACTCCTTGCAACTGGCAGTTGGGATTCTATACTATGGGATTAACAATATTTTCTGATTAGTCACATATTACTTGCTTCTAGGAGGTCTTTATCCCAGCCACACTTATTATGGATTCTATCCAAACACTTGGATTTTGT